GGGGGGGGGGGGGGGGATGAATACAAACACATATAACTTTCAAATTTAGAAATGTATATTAATAAACAAAAGATCAATACAGATTTTTACAAGATTGTATGCGGAAATAGACAAGGTAAAGATAACCTATCTAAAACAATCTAAGTTTACACACAAATATTCTTAGCAAGGAGAAAAGTTTTGTTGAAAGATAAAGAAGGAAATAAGTTCTTCATGGGTAAGAACTCTTAGAATACTTGAGAGGGATTCTAACTTGCTTGAAGATAAGCGTAAGTGTTCTTTTAGATGCGTATGTGATATCTTGTGTGTACGCACGTGTATCTTCATGGAGAGAGCACTTTTCTATTTATACACATTCCATTAAATGCACATTTAATGCAATGCAGTAGGGTTTGAACACGCATCAAGCTTTCAAAGGAAAGTTTGTTCTTTGCTATAGTGAGTAGTACAAATGCCTTTTCCTGAGAAGACATCATTTCGTAGAGTTGGTGGGTAATAGAGTCAACTAGTCGGCTCCATACCGTACTATACTCTAGAAAGGGTATGGGTTTGTCCTTTGTGTGTGGAAGGACAAGACAAAAGCAATCCGGAATAACACTGAAGGTCTCTTCAGCATTCGCTGAGGCTTGGGCAGTTTTCACACATATGTTAACTAGGTTCTAATCACTGAATGCCGCATCAGATCACGAATGCGCCAGTCACTATTCTTCAGTTTTAGTCTTCGACTTTCACTGAAGGTTCTTTGGTGTGAGTTTTGTCTTCTTGAAGTATCGCTCATGTATGATTTACAATACATGTTTCAGTGATCATTGAACAGACTCAGTGATGATCACTGGTATTGAAAGACAGAAACATAATACTTTGAAATAGGTAAAAGGGATTATCATCAAATCAATTTGAGAGAGGATCAATAATCTCCCCCAATTTGATGATAACAATTTAACATAAAGAAATTTGCCTTATCAGATAATAGTAGGAAAAAGTTACATATAAAGTACATGTCCCTTTTTAGTATTTTGGTATATTTTTCAATGAGTCTGTTTTTACTTAATAAGTTTTCTTTAGTTACAAGTTTAAGAAAAAGTACAAGAAGGAAAACTGAAACTGAAAACATGTTCACTGAGTTATAGATTGTCAGTGATTGTAAGAGAACAATGGAACTCATAGACATGTGTCCTCATTACTCTTTTCAGGGATCTTTTTAAGTGATGGAAATGAAATTCTTATATTAATTCAAAGGAAAGATTACAAGTGTTTCAGCATATTTCTTAGACTTACAACATATAAGTTGAACACTGAAAGTAGACATAGAAATAAAATACATACAGTGAAAGACAAGTTACAAGATAGAATTCTATAACTAATCTAAGTTTCTCAGGTTGATGTATCCAGGTACTTCTTCTCCGAGCTCCTTTCGATGTAGAAATTCCCTTCTAATCATGTTGTCCATCATTTCACCATATATATCATCATCTAGCCAAAATCTGATATACGCGAGATGTTCCATTAGGCAAAGATGTAACTCAAACATTCTTTGAAAGCTGACTTCTCCTTCATAGTCAAGAAAGATAAATCCTAACTCAGGCTTAATGTGCAAAGTGTTGGGTATGTAAGGACCCTTCGCTGGCAGGGAAAGATTCAACATAGAAATGTCTGGCTTCTTCGAAGCCTTCAGGACTTCATCCAAGGAGAACTTTGTTTAATGTTCATTCCTCATGGTTGGTCCGTCATTAGGACTTGAAGGTCTTTTTCTTCCACCTTTCTTCAGAGTAGGCTTTTCAGGTACCACCACATATGTTGACATCTTATTGATCAGCTCGCTGATGATGTCTTCGATAACCGACTTATGTCTTGACTTTGAGTGCTGAATGGCTTGGCGGATCTCCAGCCATTCACTGTATCCATACTTACCAAGGTATGAAGGGTACTCTGTGACAGCGTCAAGGTTGTCCTTGGTGATAAGCATCGAGACCAGAACTCCATCGTCTTCCATCCGTCCGCTGATGGTGACATTTGAAATTGGGTGAGGACTGATCCTCTTGTGTAGATGTTCTTTACTCCATTTTCTGTTGCGCTCGGCCAACTTTAGTGCTTTCTCGCGCTCAGCTTTTACAATAGAAAGTAGCTTAGCCTGGGCCTTAACAACACTCACCATCTTTTTGGACTTCTTCCTTGGAAGAACTTTAGCAGCAAGAGACTTGGCCAGCTTTAAGTTGTCCTTAGTTAGTTATCATTGAAGTCTGAGTTCTTTTTCGGCCTTGAGTGCCTCGAGTCTTTCAACTTCAGACAAGATGTAGAACTCACCACAACTACATAGATACGAAGAGGGATTTTTACTCTCGTTTGGTCGAGCGACTCCTTCAGCTGAGACATCTGCTGGTCAGTGGGAGTGCTGGAGGTTGGGTTTTTGGGCACCCATTCCTCTAGCCGACCACATGTAGTAGAAGGGATGGAGAGTTGATATAAAGAAGTTATAGTGTCGAAACTTAAGCACTCATTACATAAGGGCTCTAAAGGTTGGAAAAGTACCTATAAGTTTCCTTCTTCAGCAACATCCTTGTGTTTTGACTTTGTGTTCTGGTTCTTTTCTTGAGTCTCCTTCTCTTTCTCCTCTTGCTCCCCCTGGGATGTCGAATCCTTGAGACCGATGCCTTTCATGGCACGGATAGGTCCTTGGTATTGTATGGTGAATTCGTCATCATCGTTGTCTTCATCATCATCACTAAGGTCTTCACCAACGTCAGGAAGGTCGGAAGAGTCATCGTCTTTGCTAGCATCAAATTGATCCTAATAATTATCTCAAAAAGTTTTATTAAGCAATCGGGGGCTAAATATGGAACATCTGAAGATGCTTTTGTGCCGAAACGTCTAAGTCTGGAAGAAGACCAGCCTCTATGATAATTCGACCAAGTATGGACGACCAGAGCCTCTGTAAGAAGATCCAGAGCCTCTGTGAAGATAACGAGAGCCTCTGTGAAGACATCTGAACCAAAGCCTCTGTTAGAGACACCAGAGCCTCTGTGAAGAGGACCAGAGCCTCTGGAGGTGAAGAGGACCAAAGCCTCTAGTTGTATTGACCAGAGCCTCTGGAGGACCAGAGCCTCTGTGGTCTGTCTATCCTCTGGTCTATCCTCTGGTCCTTCAAGACGACTATCTTCAGATTCCTATTCTGGATAAGGCTAATCCTTTTATGGATAATGCTAATCTTATTCAGATTATCATGATTTATTGCCTATATAAGTAGTGGTTCAGGTATAGAAAAACGTAACGAGAGCAAATAGAAAATTCATTGTAAACATAGAATCAGATACATCATATGAGAGTCGATTAGGGTTCTTGAGAGTTTGTAATTTCCATATTCAATAAAGAAAGCGCTGTTGATTTCTATTTCATCATCTTCTTCTACAAATCTCTCTTGAATTCCTTTATTAAATTGTTCTATTGTCAGATCTGGGTTTTAACAGACTTCATCTTTATCATCATCCATATCATCAACATTAGTTGCAGAGGTGATTGGAAGGTCCTCATCACGAGCTTCAGCGCCATCCCGGACGACATCAACATCCATAGCTACAGAAGCTTCACAGGAAGTTGGATTATCATCAAAAAGCTCAACTTCAGCTTCAGTATTAGCTTCAGCTTCAGTGTGAGTCACTAAGGCAGCAGCAGGTTCAGCGGCAGTAGCTTCAGCAGCAGCAGCTCAAGATTCTGTCTCCCTCTCTTTGCCTATGGCTTTGAAACAATAAACAAAGAAGTGATCAACACTGCGTAGCTGAAGCGCCATCATTTCTTCAAGTTTGGTCATATCGCAGGCTAGGAAAACAATAGTCTCGCGCGTCTGATCTAGCCAATATTTGCTGCATCAACTATAGCTGAAGCGCCATCATTTCTTCAAGTTTGGTCATTTCTTCAGTCATGAATGATGGTTCAGGTGTTGGGATTGGCTATCGGAGAGTAGCCAATATTTGCTGCATCAACTCTATGTGCTTGGAAAGATGAGAATTTGCTTCATCGGCATTGTTTGTTAAAGCGTTGAAGGCCTCAGCATTGTCTTGCACAACCACTAGCATCGATGCTGGTCCTTGACCTCTTTTACTTCAGCTCGAACAACTGATAGGTCAGCAGACACTTTGTCCCAGAGAGGCATGCCTTTATGAACTTCGCCCATTTTAAATAAAGACAATCTCCACAGCAGGGAGGAGTAACTTCACGTCATCAACCATGTTGTACTCTTCATACTTGGCTGGCGTCTCTGCAAAAGAACCCGAGGGTTCATCAGCGTCATCTGAAGGATTAACGTTGGTTCGCTCCCGGTGGCCTTCGAGAGGATAGGTGACTGTTTGCTGAGATACCTCAAGAGGAGCAAGCTCAGGTCTAGTGGTGGGGGTTTCATCATCAAGGAGGACATTCGCTAATGAATCATAAACATGTGTCGAGACCAAGGATGGACGAGAGGAGAAAATGGCCGAGACAGATGGATGAGAGTGTTCAGCAGTGGCGGTGCTGATATCTCACCTTCAGTGATTTGTGTCGCTAAGGCGGTTGGGATAGGAGCCAAAGGTACGACAGTGATTTCAGATATCACTGAAGAGATGGGAAGGGTAGCTGCAAGTGCCTCGGGAGTAAGGCTAGTTTCAATAGTTGAGACATTTTGAGAGGTCACAGCCAAAGACGTGGGTGTCCCCATTTTGGCCTTCTTGGCTCTCGATGGAGAACCAAGAGTGGGTTGAGAAGATGGGCGTTTGGTAGACAGAATGGTGGTGGTCGGGATAGACTTCAGGGGGTTTTTCTTAGTCTTAACCACCTTAGAAAGAGAAGAAGAAGAAGAAAGAGGAATTGAAGAGACAGGTTGCACTATAGTAGAGAGTGCAATGTCTCCATCCCTCAACTTATGATCCATAATCCTAGATCCAAGTTTTCAAATAGGAGGGTTACCTTCCTTGGAGTACAGTACTTGTCGTCGAAGATTTTGATGATCACCATGGAGAGGAATCTAGTGTATTGAACAACTTTCTCCCTCTGGCGCTTGTTCAGCTTCAGCGGCAGGTCCTCGAAGATCACCACCGCGTAGTTGATAGGGCGTCGGTGAATGACAGAGACATCAATGTTGAGAACGACCCTTGATGGTTGATCTTGACCTCCAGTCTTGCCTCCTATGCATTGGATAAAGTGGGAGAAGAGGTACTGCCACACCGCTGACATGCGGTTCTTCTCAATTTTCATCAACGATTTCAGGGAGTCGCTGGAGTCTTTCTTCATTGGCCAGGCATAGCCAATATCATTGAGACAGGCGATGATGATTTCAGTTGAAGGATCGCTAATGAATGTACCCTTGGGAAATCGAAGACCATGCCTTAGCATCGTCACACCAAAGCTGACAGTCATACGGTTGAAGGTGAAGGAGATCTTCTCTATCTAGCGACCGTGCTTGTCAGTATTCCAAACCACTTCAGTAGTCATCCAAAATTGCTGAAGGGCTTCCTTCACCATGACAGGTTCATGGGTGAGAGCGTAGGCGATTAGCGAGTTCTTGAGGAAGGTAGCAGCATCCTCGTAGAGTTAGTTGTTTGAAGGGATGTCCAACAAGGAGACATGGTTGTTTGCCTTGAAGGTCACGTCTTCGAGTGAAAAGTTCACGTTCTTGACAGACATTGTCTGTTAGAGGTAAGAAATGAGACATAATGGTTTTGTTAGTAGTCCAAGATTTGAATGTGAGCTTTTTAAGTTTTAGAACAATAAAACTTCTTTTGAAAAATCCACAAAGAAAATATTAGCGTTTTTCAAAAAGAACAAGTGTTTTTGAAACTTTAGATTATAACCAAGGAAAAGAATGTGTTAATAATGTCAATGTTTGTATTTTAAGAGAACATTCTTACAGAAACAAACACAGTTTCATTAGAAGAAGAAGAACAACAACAATTCAAAATATTAAAAGAGTATCGACCTTAGAGATTTAGAAGAAAAGGTTGAATGTTTTGAGCGTTCTTAGTTGTAGTTCTTTCTTGAAAATCTGTTTTTGGCAGAAGTTCGTCAAAGATTTTGAAAGCGTAAAGAAAAAATGTGAGAGAAGTCTCATATTTATAGGTAGGAGGAGAGTGAAAAAGAAATAGGAGAGAGGAAAATACGATTGTTGAGGAAGTGCCATGATGAAAAAATAGCACGTTCTCATCCACGATTGGATAGAATTTGTAGGAGGTCGCGTGTGTCAGACTTTTACGCGCGTCTCAAAGCAACTCGTATTGGTAACAGAGAATGTTTTCATAAAGATGGTTCATAATCTATTTCTTTTAAAACCAAAAGGTTTTAATAAATTCAAAAGTCACATTCAGTGATAAGAGAGTCATTGAATAAAAAACCTTTTAAAAACATTTGATCACTGAAGAAGAAAAGCTTCAGTGATGGTTTTGTTTTAAGAAAAGAAAAATATCTTATTGGGATATATTTCCATAAATGAGTCAATGATAAGAGACTAAAACTGTCTTTTAAAAACATTTGAATCACTGAAAGAAAAACACTGAAACTGTCATTTTGATTTTAAGAAAAAGATAAGTATAGTTGAGATATACTTATTTGAAAATATTCATTGATGGAAAGAGTCACAGAAACAAACTTTTAAAACATTTTGATCGCGGAAGAAGAAAAGCTTCAGTGATAGTTTTAAGTTTTAAGAAGAAGAGCGAGTATACATACCTTAGAGAGAATAGATATATTTACTCAAAAGTTCAGTGATAGAATCAGAACACTGAATCATTTCACTTACTGATTGATGCGTATAGCTGAAGGAAATTAATCTTCAGTGTTTAGCATTCCAAGTTTGTTGATCAGGATGTAAAATCTTGTCTCATTAAGAGGTTTTGTGAAAAGCTCAATGAGTTGGTAATCAGTGGGAATAAAGTGAAGTTTAATATTACCATTCATAACATGATTTCTGATAAAATGATATCTGATCTCAATATATTTGGTCTTGGAGTGAAGAACAGGGTTGTTTGCAATAGCAATAGCATTAGTGCTATCACAATAGATAAGAATCTTTGAAAACTGAAGATCGTAGTCATTAAGCTGGTTTTTCATCCAAAGGACTTAGGCACAACAACTTCCAGCGACAACGTATTCAGCTTCATCGGTTTATATGGACACTGAGTTTTTCTTTTTACTTGTCTAGCTCACAAACTTTCCACTTAGAAGTTGACAACCTCAAGTGATGCTTTTCCTATCAATTTAGCAACCTGCAAAATCACTATCTGAATAACCTATTAGGTCAAAACCTAAACCCTTAGGGTACCAGATACCCAAGTTAGTAGTTCCCTCCAAGTATCCGAAAATGCATTTTACAGCAATCAGATGTGATTCCTTAGGTTTAGATTAATAATATGCAAATAAGCAAGTAGAATACATGATATCTGGTCGACTAGCTGTAAGATACAACAGGGAGCCGATCATTCCTCTATAAACAGTTACGTTTATAGGCTTTCCAGTTGAATCCTTGTTGAGAGAAAGTGGAGGAGCCATAGACATTTTCATATATGAGCTGTTAGAGAGATCAAACTTTTTCACCATATCACGGACATACTTACTCTGACTGATAAAGATACCTTTATCTGATTGCATGATCTGGAGACCTAAAAATGTTAGCTCTCATATTTCATTTAATGTAAAAGTATGTAAAAGTACTACTGCAAGTGTTGACAGAAGAGGTCTACCACAGAAGACCACAAAGGACCAACAACAGAAGATGTTCAATCGTACAAGTCAAAAGTGACAGAACCTCTGTTGTCTATCACAGAGGTTCTGGAAACTAGTCCTCTGTGAACAAAAGCGTACAAGTCAAGAATGACAAAACCTCTGTTGTCTCTCATAGAGGTTCTGGAAACCGGTCCTCTGGCATCAAGAGCTTACAAGTCACATCCAGCAGAGCCTCTAGGATGGCTCACAGAGGATCTGCAGTATTATCTTCTGTGAAGAACGTCTTCTCACCGCTTTACTTAGGTTTGTTAGCTGCACGTGCTTATCACGTGACTATGTTTGTAATCTGCTTTATTTGAACGGCTTAGATCATTTCACTTGTCTAGGTCATGTCAGAAAAGCTGTTAGCAACTAGTATGTATAGCAGCTTAGGCCTTTGTAATTTGTGGTGCTTCCCGTATTGTATTTGTCAATATTTTCAATAGAATTGAAAATCATTTGAAGCTATTCTCTCGTGTTCTTCATATTCTTCATATGTGTTCTTGATTGATTATTTGCTCTGTTTGTTCATTTAATTGTTTCTGCTGCACTGTAATTGTTCTAAGAGTTCATCCAGAGTAAGTGATTAAATACCAAGCTGAATCTAAAGGTCCTAACAATTGGTATCAAAGCAGGTTCCCAGAACATGGTATGATCGCTTATCCAACTTTCTTACTTCCAATGGGTTTCACAAAGGTACGACAGATATTACTTTATTTTATAAGAAAATGAATGATGATATCTTGCTTTTACAAATTTATGTTGATGACATTATCTTTGGTGCAACTAACGTTTCGATGTGCAAGGAATTTGAGTTGTTGATGCAGAGTGAATTCGAAATGAGCA